ACCAATTGAATTATTAGTATAAGAAGAGTCCCACTTGGAGCTGACGCGTGCTCGTCCCGTGCAGCGTTGGCTTGTTCAATGGGATGAATGGTATGGGAAAAGAGACGCTGCCTCCTCTTCCCATTTTAAGTCGGTAAAAAGGCAAATTCAAGCATATCCAAGATGTGCCTGGTTTTCAAGTTCTATTTATGATCATGAACTGTGATCTATGGTTCTTATGTAAATAGTTACGTGGATTTAATTTATCTCGTATTTTTTCATTTGATCGTATTTTGGATTTTCCTTTTTTTGGTCTTATTTTTTTTAAACAATAATTAGGCTTTTATAATGCATATTTTAGAATGTCAATCAACGTCCCCGTCAGCTTACACTAAGAGGGGGAAAAGACGAGGCTTGACGCCAATGACGTGATGGGGCCCCCGAGTACCGGAGTAGTCTACCAGAACTGGAGTACCCTCTAGCCCTTGATCCCCGCAAAGCCCGTTGGTCTGGTCCCCTAGGCTTATGATCCCTGCGTGCGATCCTGGTGGATCCCCCATTTTTTTTACACTAAGAACACTGCCACCTTCAGGGTCAACGCTAATCACACTCTGAAACGTCCGGCGCATCTTGAAGGGTGGATCCAAGCCGGTCACTTCCTCCCGAATTGGGCTCTATCGGAATTTCCTCGATCATGACTGGTTCTTCATTTGACTGTCCACCCCCAACCGTTCGAGATCGAAATGGACACTCTCTCGTGACTGACGCTTCCAAGTAAAAATTGGAATTTTTTTTATTTTTTTCTCGAACCGAACTCCACGGGAGATCCAATTTCCTCTCATCTCACTTTCCTTGTCCCAAACTTCTATGAACCGTTCCAAAGGTGTGGTATATGGAGCTCTAGCTATCCTTCTTCTGGCAGGCAGTAAGCTTTGTTGACGGGGGGTGCCGACATACTCATTTCGCTTTTTCCTCATTCATTACGTATATCGATTCTTTGCTTCCCAAGGAGACTTGAGAACTTACCGGCGGAAAACCTCGGGGCTCATATCCCGCGATATCATTTGTTCTCTGTTCATATGTGTTTTACTTTCTCCGTGGTAGGACATTTGAATGCACGTATGTACGGAGTACTCCGTACTTTGTTTACGTATACATAATTCCCGGGAAGAGTATCGCGTACTACACACCATATTTAGATATCCATGGGAAGCTTTTTTGTTTCTGTAAGTCTACCGATTTGGTTATTGGAATAACCCCGCCATGAGGTTATCTGACTCCGACTGGTTCCTGTTAATATTTCCGATCGTATCAATCAATCCAAAACTTAAACTTCTTCTGATCTCTCATCCGAATATACGGTGTGCGTTGTGGTGTACACAATAACGTGGGCTCGGTGTTACCCACCAACATCGTATATCCTGCATATTCCAAGGTTCTCTGTTCGGACCTCAGAGTAGCCTCAAAACCCTTACCCAGAAATCAGGATCAAGCTTCCCCCTGGCACAGACAGTGCAGAAAGCGGATCGCGTCGCCGCTTGGCACATGTCATTTGCTGTCCCGTCTGGGGGCGAGAGTTACCTATTGTGGGTTGTAGACCGCGTCTGCATCATGAGGTTGACGAAGCAAAGGGGTAGATGACAGGGGGCCTGTTACAGAATGACATCTTTAACGTGGCCTCAGCAGAATGCCTAACGATGAGGCAATGGAGGCTACCTGATCCTGACTCGGTCGATCCACTAGAATAACACCCCTCACAGCTCATGCTGGACGTGCCGCACCGTCATTGTTGATGCAGGGTCTCGGCTCCCTTGCAAGGGGATTTGTGTATCTGCACATGTGTATTTCCAAGGTTTTCCAAGGTTCTTTGCAGTGAAGTGTCGCGTTGCCCGGTCAGGAAACTGAAAGTGAGCTGAACCATGTGTTTCTTCGATGTGATCAGGCGCTCTCGTCTGGAGTATTGTAAAAAGGCACTGCATGACCCCCAGGGCTGGAGGTAGCATTGACTCCGAGTCGTAGTCCTCACATTGTTGGTCATCTAGTCAATGCACAATGCTACTAAACCTGATCCCTGTCATTTCCAAGGTTGCGCACTACGACACATTCCTCTTTCGAATATGATTGGTTCTGAAACTATGAATATCTTTCCGGCCTTGATCTTCTCACATGAATCCGCGGTATCTCGCATGCTTGACAGGCAACGAACACAAGGGTTTTGTCGAATTACATTCAGACATCTGGAATTCCTCTTTTACAAAGTACGGGGTAAGATATGCATCCATGCATCTAGTAATATGTACCGGACTCCGAGTACAGTTACAGCATGGACCAAAAATCGAAAAAAAAAATTTCTTAGTTCCCATTGAATGAATCCATGTTGAAAGAAGCTGTCGAAGTGGGGATCCAAGCGCCCTCGGAGTTCCTGGTATGCGCCGGAAACGCCCCCACGATCTCTGATAGAACCATTTCATAAGATAATAGAAAATTCTATTCACGAACGCTCCATTCAGATCCATGGTCCTTGTAGCGAACATTGTGAACTCAACAACGGCTTGATAATCCACAAAAGCCACCATTCAGCCGTGTCCGCCGCCACCACAGTGAGAAGTGTGTATAGCCAAGAAGAACCTGAAGAGTTTTTTTTAAAAAATCGAAAATGGGAAAATTAAAATCACAAATAGACCCAAACTCTAAAACTTCGATCCTCAAAACGGGACAGACCCTGAAAATCCACCAGAAAAAAAAAAGCCACGAAAAAGGGGGGCCAGGAAACAATCAGAGCCCCTCTTGATGGGACTTGAGGACCCATTCGCTTGGGTCGTGTACGAAGTAGGCAAACTTGAACCTCGAACTTGGAACTTGGAAGTGTATGTATGTTGCTGTGTAACGCGCCCATTATCTCAGGCCCCCGGGGTCTGTGTGCAATGAATACAAGTTTCAAGGCAACGAATACATAGCCCTAGAGATGATCTAGCACAAGGCTGGATGTACAGGGGAACTGAGCACTCTGTTCTCCGTACGGGATACCTGCCTCTATTGATGCAGATGCTAGGACTCCATTCCCCGGTTCAGAAAGGAGAACTATGATTGGATTGAAATTCGATATCGAATTCAGGGGGAGGCTGTGTTGGATGGACAGTCCAACGACACATGCGCATATTCTGATACGGGACACGGGAGGATTGGAATTTCTTTTTTTTTCAACTGCTGTATTTGGATTTTAAAATTAAGTTGGAATTAGTTTGAATTCTTATTTTATTTTGTTCGATGTCCACTATGAAATTTACTAGTGGTATACCTCAGACACGGTTGACGAGGACATTGCTTCAAGGCCCTGGAAGTGACTGCTTAGTAGCATTTCAGTAGTAATATGCAGTAAGAATGTACTCTCTCTCTCCGCCTCGTAATCGCTCCTAGGCATCACCTGTACTCCGTAAAACCCAAAATCCTAATGTACATATAAGTTCACAAGTTAAGACAAAAAGAAATCATACATATACCCCACAGGTAAAGCAAAAAAATTAAAAATTAATCCAATAAAGGGAAAAAAAAAAGGGTCTGAAACTTTTCCATTGATCTTTTGATGTATTCTCAATCCACTATTGGTTCCCGCGTCGAAGTGAATTATCGCGCAAATCCCCACATCCAAGGTACGCCTGACGTTCTCCCTATTAGAGAGTAATAGAGCTTACGCGGCCACTGACTATGCCAAGACCTCCCCACGGCAAGCTTAGGCATTTGGCGCTTCTTGGCACTTCACTCATGTTGGAGTTTGGAGTTGGAAAAAAAAGGGAAATAAAAAGGGGAAAAAAAAAAAAGTATGTGGACTCCCTGCGTAAGGATAAAATAGTATCAAAATAAAATAAAATAATTATTCCTGGTATGTATTTCGTACTGCGTTACGAAAACTTGCGTCAATGAACTTTTCCTTCTCCCGGCCCCTCCCTGGTGGTTATTACGACTCTCTGCGCTGTTTTTCTATTTTTGCGAATCCTGGTGGCAAACTCCAGGAAAGATGATGCAAAGGAGAAAATGAAAAAGGGGGGTTGGTGTAGGATTCCCCCCATCTATCTGAAATTTGTCTGCTTTTTCATCTATGAACATTACCTGTGATATAGTGATGTACGCGTGGTCATGTAGTCATGAGTACTAGTAACTAGTACTTCTAGTGTTATACCTTAAATCGTACCTACTAGGTAGAACTCGGAGGTATACAGTAGATCCTGGTATAATCACTGATTCTGCAGAATTCGAACCCTAGTTACTCACCCTAGACAGGAAGAAGATATTCAGGATTGACACTGATTTTCGTGTCAAGGAGAGCGATCACTGCCCAATTTCTCCGGTGTCATGTTGCTTAGCCGTCGATTGTTCCAGGGTCTGGCGCGATCGTGGCGGCGATCAACTCTATGTTGAACTACTAGTAGATCATTTTAAAATCAACGAGCCGAGATCGTACTACACCTTGGCATATCAATTTTGGAAGTTTGATATACTATGTACCATTGATTTCATCCTTGATATTTTCACTACTACTACTAGTCATTTAATCTCAATGTTCTTTTGTAACAAACATTCGAGTTGGGATTAATAGCAAGATTACTAATTATCCTCACCCGGGCGCGGCACTAAATATATGTTCATTCAAGTTCAAGTTTCGGGCTCTACTAGTAGTGCACCAACATCAATCATGCCCAGGTGATGATCATTGAGATCGCATGATCACATGGGCAACATTAAATCGATGCACGTCGGCAAGTCAAGTAGTTTGTACTTCAAGTTGGAAAATTTTGGAATGAAAAAAAAAAATGAAAAAATGAGATGCTACTACCTAGTGGTACTCTTGGAAAATCGAAGCACTGACATGGAGTAGTACCCGCCTCATACTAGTAGTCGTGACTGCCAGTGTGAAATATATTAAATTTAAACCTTCAAGTGGTTCCAAGGTTCTTGCACTAGTAGAGGAGTAAATGTTGTTTTCATTATATGGTTGGGTAGTATTCAACGGTCGCAAGTGAAGACTATTCAGGATCACGCGAGCCAGGGAACAGCAGGTAGGTCGCCTGGACAGGCGCAACTACCGTATCATAGAACTGTTGTCGGAACTGCGAGAAACTAAACTGCTTGTATAGATCTCGACCTTGAAAAGAGTATTTCACACATCTCTCAGCTGCATATCCATATGGATCCCCCGCCAAGCGATATACTTCGTCCAGATGACCCAGTGCAGCTTGGTAGTCATCCAACAGTGATGATGACACTGTATTATCGCCACCTGCTGTAGCAAATCGTTTATTAATGCATAACTCAATAAGAAAAATGCCAAGCGAAAATATGGTTCGGTTTGGAATCAGATTCCTTAAATTCTCTCCGGCGAAATCCTCTGCTGTAATTTTTGCACCCGGCGAGAAGATATATGAGCTGCAAGGGTGTCGGGATAGTACTTCGTGACCTGTGCCCGTCTTCTCAAGGAAGATGTTCACTTGTCTATAGTCCCAATTGTCATTGAACCAGGAGCTGCCGCTGAGGTGTAGAACCGACCAAGCGACCGAGGCTGCGATACCGTATCTTTGTTTTGTAGATAGTAAAAGCCACGGTCGGCTTTGAGATAACTCCCGATCTGATTCAAAGAGAGATCTGAGGGAAACTGGTTCAATGATACGGGAAAGATCTGCTTGGTTATAACTTGAGTCGAGAAGAAATCGTCGTTTCTGATCTTCATCGGGATCTTCCAGAATGCCTTGCAGCTGCAAAGGATCAATAGCAGTACACAGTGTAGTGCAAAGGCTAGTTATGTTGGAGCTTGTGGTCGAGGAGACACTTTTAGTCGAGGATGGAGAATTCAAATATCTAGACGAGCTGGAAAGAATAGAGGCTGTTAAAACGACACCACACTAGTTAGCAACAACCTAACATCGGGAAATCGTGGTCCACGGGTACTTACTCTTCTCCTCTGTCGCAGGTTGTGGTGTTGGAATATGTGAGCTGGAGCGACTGCGTTTGAAATGTGTCACAAGAGATCGCATGGATAGGGATGGCGATGGCTCTCTTGTTGGTGTGTTTGATGTATTTGTTGGAATCAATAGCGCGGATGTAGAGTCATTCTTCTTGGGAGGTGTGTCTAGAGTGAAACAGAGCTTCTGCCAAGAATTGGACTGATGCAACGGGGTAGCGTATGAGACCGCAACCTTGAAAGGCTTTGATTCAGTAGACTCGTACGCCTCCCAGTCAAGATAGATGCCGGCTTCATGAGCAGGCGAGCATGGACAGCTAAATCCATATTCAAGAGCCCGATGCAGGGATGCCAAGCACATGCGAATGGAATCACAGCGCTGTATATTAAATCGACGTTTCAAATACTGAACCTTGATGCTATCGTCTTCAGCCGGTATCTCAGGTATCTCTAGAGACCTCCTCAAGTCATCATTCCAATTTCTAAGATCCTCGACCACTTTATTCCGCTTCTTGGTACTGAAGCTGTGTTTTACTCTGCGCCATTCCCATTGGAACTTATCGGACATTCCGGCTGGCTACGCGAAGAGGTCAGTCAGACTAAGTTTCGCATAAATAGCTTAGCTTTTGCAGTGTTATACCTTGCCAATACTATCCACCTCAAGATTCCTTAAAAGAATAGCCGTAACCTCATCCATGCGCCGAACGATGAGCAGCAACTCCCGAGATATACTCGGGAATTGTCTTTCAAAGCATTCACGCAGCTCCTCTCCTGTTGGCTCAGCCCCAAGGCCGATATTGGCGAGTGTGGTCTGTAGATGTCGGTTCTGGAGTATCAAGTCGGTTCGAAAGGTTTCTATCGAAGTACGGTAATGCCGAAAAGCCTCGAAGGGCTCGGCATATTTCTCTAGAGCCCATATTGCAAGAGGTATACCACCTAGAACAAGACCTGTGACTTCCATTAGGGATGGGAATACTCAAGAGGAGTAAGCGTAGAGTGAGGGGTATCGCCATGTGAAGCTGATTTTGGCGCCCAGTTGGGAATAGTAAGCGGGGGTTATCTCCTATCCCTAACTGTCAGATGATACTTCACTTCAAATTCCTTAACAATAATACCATTCTGCCATCGCTCTAATACTCGGACACTAGGCTCATATCACACAGGCAGAGGTATCATTTTGATGATGGTACTGAGGATTTACTACTTTATGATCTCAAAATGACTGATGATCCAGTAAATGTACCCTTACACATCGGGTCTCTTTCATCAGCATATCGGCATTGCTTTGTGCTATACGGGAAATTTCTCCTAGCTCTCGACAGGAAAGACCGCGACTCCACAGCGATCAGTCTAGACCAGACGGATGTTGCGCAGATCATAGACGGGTACGGGAGGGCCAAGATTTGGGGTAACCAGACCAAGGTGGTTTTACCAGAAAGGGCACGAGGCTCTTTAGATGACACCCTTCGCTATGATGATGAGCTGAAGAGTCTAGTCAGAGGTATTCTCATTCGACTGGGTGCCCTCCTGGACCAAGGTAAGAGTTCATACCACGTTTATCACGACTGTCAACTGACCAACGCGGAGTAACGCGCATCATTCAGAGGGAAAGCGATGCCGATGAATCAGATGGCTCATTAAGTAGTGTGAGCGCTGAATCGGACTCTGATGGCAAAGTCCAGCCTCCCAAGAGGATACCGAGGATCCGATTGCTTGTTCAGCAAATCTTGGCTCAGATTCGGTCGCTTTTCGATCTTTCCTCTCTGCTTCGACGCCCCAAGCTTGCAGGTCGATATATCACCTCGGTTAACACAAAAGCAAAAGAAAGGATGATCAGCGTAGATACACTTCCATTGGCTACTGCCTTCACGTCTCTGGATGAGAGTCACATACTGGAAAAAGTGCTACAGTGGCGCGGTCTTACAAAGAGCGGGCGCGATATCGAGTTTGAGGGAGAAGAAGTCGCCCCCGTGAACCAGACATTCAACGCAGGTCACATCGAGGACATATCGTGGTTTTGTGAACGTTTCGCGAGAGCAAATACCAGACGAAGGGAGCAACTTCAACATTGGACTGATCATCCATACGACGTGACCCGGGAAGTAACCAACGCCATTGATGCAATATCTGAGCCAGACCCAGAGTTTTCTGCAAGAAAGGGTCAGAGGCTATTGAAGGACGAAGAATCTGCTTCTCAGGCACAGGGTCGTAGCATTCAATCACAGGCGCCCAAATCTACCACGTCAAAGGCCTTTTCCTTAGCAAATAGGTCCGACGTCTTCGATACCAAAACAAATACACGATCGCGAACCATTTATGCCCCGACGACAATCGGTCAAGGACGATCAAACTCCGTGCCAGATCCACCAAAGACAATAGAAGAAGACATTTTCTTTACGTGTCCCTATTGCAAGATGAAGCTGGACTCTAGCGAGATGAAGAACAGACAATCATGGAAGTAAGAAAAAACTCGGGAAATGGGTCATTACTTGCAGGATACCAGGTACTAACATCAAATGAAATCTAGACGTCATGTTTTCCGCGATCTTCGCCCGTATGTGTGCACATTTGATAACTGTCAAAATGCTGGGAAGCTCTACGTGAGTCGGCATGAATGGATCTACCATGAATTGCAGATTCACCGGCGTAAGTTTGTGTGCCAGGAGTGTGATAAAGCATACCCAGGAAGAAAAGAGTTGGCAAAACACCTGGATCAGCATCATGCCGGATCAATCCCACCAAATCGATTAGAGATTTTCCTCGACCTCTGCGAGCGTCAGATTGATCTCTCGGATGATCAGATAGAGGCATGCCTTATCTGTGGACAGGAACTCACACTGCACGAACTTCAAGGACATATCGGTGGACACATGGAGGATCTTGCGCTATTTGTGCTACCAAGTACTAGCGAGGACAACGAAGAGCAAGGGTCAAAAGCTTCAGTTCAAGTTGTGAAACTGAATTCTCAAGGCAGCAAGAGTGAATACGACTCAGAATTATCATTTGATACCTTGTCTGAGCATGCAAGCCCCCAGGATCTAGCTGAGTTTTCAGATGAAGACGCAGCAGATCCCAGTTCCCTTTCTAAAGAAATACCGACACTGCACCCAGATAATGACTGGATGGCGCGTTTTGACCCACGGCCACCGCAGTTTCAGTCTCAGCTCTCTGGCTTGGCATCAGGAATCTCTGTCCCTGGAAATGCGTCAACAAAACAACTCACCGAAGATGACGATATTACAAATATTACACTCAATCATTGGGCAGTTGATATATTTAGCAGTATTGCCAGTAAGACAAGGCTGCCGGGATCATTCGAGAAGTAAAGACTATCCATTTATTCAAATTGATCTATACCACCTCTACTGATAGTGCCGCAGGGGCGAGTGCTTTGGCGATAACCATGTTGGACTCAAGCAGATCCTCCAGGAGCAGGGATTCGTGAAACTTTTCCAATTGTAAGTATTCAGCGTTTAAAAATACTAACTAGGTATTGAGTATCCATCTAGCTCTTATTGATCTTTTTTTAGAGTTGATGATCCTGGATCCGAGAGTGACTTTAATGTCGATTTTTATCTGCGGGAGAAAGATCTTCGCGCTCGAATTATGTGCAAGGTCAAACCTCTCGCTCGACCAAGTGAACACTTCTGTTTGTCTCTCAACAAGCTGGAGGTTATTCGGAAAGAGTCTTACCTCCAGCTATGTCGGAGAAGAAATTCAGGCAATGAGTTAGTATTGTGGGCACGTATCCCATTCACCACCATGGAATGTAAGAAAAACAGTCTACACATACAAAATATAAGAATTGAATAACTGAAATGGATACTATCTAGCTCTGGTCGTAACCTTCTGCACATTTCTGGCTCTTCGCTCTGCAGATAAAGGATGGCCAGTTGAAGATATTCGAGACTATTACCTGGATGGTGAAGAGGAGTTGTATGGAGGGTGAGTCAATCTACCTATCTGATGGAATATTCGCAAAGTTAAGGTTTCCAGTAAATTTGAATTTGTCGAGGATTGTTCTTTATATGCTCTTCGTGTTTTTCGCGATGAAATTAGCGGGGCTGTTCGATTGCAAGCTTCCGTGTACGATGGTCCAAAGAAAAAGTAGGTTCATGCATCAGATGCCACAACTTTGGAGTGATGGTTTCTCATACTTAATACTGGACACAGTGCTCCCGTCTGGACTGCATTCATCACTCACCATCTGAATCGAAATTATTGGTTGAAAGTAAAAGACGAGAGAACGGTGATAGTGCCTGATTTGAAGCCTATCATTTTCATGATGCCCGAGGACTATACCCCCGAGACAACCGAAAACGGAGAGCATATTCTCAAGTTCACTTCTAAAAGTGGTACGTGTATACCATATGACCTTTTCTTGGATAGTTAAGACCACTGACAAATACTATAAAGATGCGAGTGACTTCATAAACATAATAGCGGTGGCTAGAGGTGGTTTCTAATCGTGTTCGACATGGGACTTCCTGTTAAATGACCTCTACATCTCAAGTAGGAGAACTTGAAGAAATGTAAATTTGAAACCTTTCAAGACTTCTGTGATTCCTCCCAAGGTTTAGCTAGAATTGGCACGAATAGGAACTTGAACCTCAGGGTGTGCCAGTGGTGGCTTCATGTTACGGCAAGTATCATTATACGAGTTTTCTAATTAAATGCGCATGTGTAAAAAAGGATTCCTCCAGGATGAATGATCCATTGAAATGTTTCTAGCGAATTTTTGGAATCTTGATGTACATCACCAGTTGACCACGCCAAACGTCCGTCGTGCCTGCATGAAATAAAGAAGCGCAAAAGATAAAAGATAAAAAGGAAAAACACCGGCTTGCGAACACAAAAGTTCCCATTAGGGAAGGTATTTATGCATGTAAAGAAAGAAAATGGGAAAGAAATTCAAATTAAATCATCGTCATTAGACAATGATAGACAACTCCGGTCGATCCATGCCATCGTCTTCAACACTGGGGTAATATGGAACCATCGCATCGGCTGCTTGTACGTATGCGTCGTTGTATAGGCGCCAGTATGGTGTGCGTACCTTGCGAGCGGGATGGAATAATCCTGCCCAGACGTAGTTCATAACAGTTCCTGCTCCAACTGCCATGCGAATAGCATCGATAGCCTCAATAATTCGGTCAATGACGTGAGGGCTGGTCTCGAAAATGTTGGGGAACACAAGGTTGAGAAGGTGGACCATCGCATCCTCGCAGCCAAGACCAACAACGCCTAAAGCGATGTGCTTGACTACACTGGCGGCGGTCTGTCGGTGGACTTGATCACGATCAATGAGGGCGTCTTCGAGTAAAGGAGTGACAGCGTAGACATAGTCCTTTGCCATCTCACCAATATATTCGAATAAGAAAGACATGGCCTTGAGAACACCGTTCTGAACGTTCAACTCAGGAACGCGGTACTCGTTCATCAAAGCTGGAAGGACGGTGAAGGGGGCACAGGTTTCTGCCACGATACCAATGGCGACAGCTGTACAAACACGAGACTGACGCTCCTGCACACGAAGGTTGTTCAAGAGGGTTGCCAACACATCCTGGGGACCGATGGCCTTAGCAATGAAACCGAAGGTGTTGTTGGCTGCACGACGAATGCCCTTCTTGTGAGCCTTAAGCATGTCCAGCAACTCGAAACAGATACGCATCCATTCACGAGCATTCACAGACTCGGGACCACGATCGGCAATACGACCAACCAGATCAATTGTGTTTTCCTGCACCTTTTCGTGACGGTTACGGAGAATGGGTGTCAGACGAGGGAGAAGGTCGCGAATAGGAGGCTGCATCTGGTTGATGCCGACGACAGTGACAATAGATCGCAAGGCACCCAGAATTGATCCCAGAACCTCAGGGTATTCTTCACCAAGGTATTCGTAAAGCACAATGCCGAGCTTACCCATGAGAGCATCTTCACCACACTGCTTCATAACCATCGCAATGCGTGAAATAAGATCTGCCGCTTGTTGTCGGACAGTTGCAGACTTGTTGTTCAACCGCCAGAGAATGGTACTGACGATCTGGGGAAGGTAAGGCTTGCAGCGAGTTCCGAGAGCATTAACCACTGTTCCGAATCCATTGAGAATAACAATATCCTCGATACTTTGTTCCTGGAAGGCGTAGAGAACACCGTCAATTAATCGCTCCTCCAGACGCTCAGAGATGTCTGCTGCGCCCAGCGAGGCGATTAGCTTCTCAACAGTCTCCACTGTCATCTTGCGGTAGGGTTCGCTCTCATCCTTCAGGTTGTTAACGACCCGCTCGAGGATCTCACCAACGCCGACCTTTTGACCCAAGTCGACGGTTGTGTCTACAACCTGGCGATAGTTTCTCCGGTCAAGAGCCATACGTCTGACCCAGAAACTCTTGAAGAAGTCGGTCAAGACGTGCTCCTTCAAATAACCAGCAGTAACACCTTCGGTGCTAGAGCACTGAGACACCACCTTGAGAACTACCTTCTTCATTTCCTCATCTGGAGACGAGAATTCACGAAGTAAAATCTCCATGATCTGAGTAGTGTAGTAATTGGCGTATTCTTCGTCCATAAGTGGGATGATGTATCCAACAGCCTTCAAGAAAGCCGCGAGACCCTTACCACGCTGCTTGCGGGCACCGGTCCAGAGAGGGTTCAGGATCTCATCGAAGCTTTCAATACCGTAGGGATTGGCAGCCTCAGCCAGGGCAGCAACGGCTAGTGCAGTGACCGTTCTAACCTTGGCTTGTTCGTCGCTAAGATTGTCTGAGATACATTCAACCAGGCCTTTCAGATGGGGCAAAATCGCACAACCCATGAGAATAGGAATTTGTTGGACAATCTTCACACCCGTGTGCCTGGCCTGCCAGGACTTCTTGCTGCGACAAACGGCGCGAAGGAATGGAAGAAGGGCGGGAATACCGAGAGCAGAAGCTACTACGGCGAAGGCACGCGCAGTGGTGTTTCGCACGTACTCGTCAACATGGTCAATATCTGGACGCATGGTACTGATCATAGTGGCCAGACCAGCAGCCTTGGCAAGATTAGAGATAATTTCCCGACCCTCGACACGAGCATAGTAGTCTTGATCGATGAGCAGTGGCTCAATGACAACAAGAATCTTATGGACGTATGGCCGAACCAGATCATCCAGCTTGTAGAGCACTCGGTCAATAACCTTCACCAACAAGTGACGTTCCTGGTCCTCCAGAGACTTCTCCATGAGCAATGGAAGGATCTGGTTGAATAAGGGCCCAGCCCCAAAGTTTCGTGCATTGTCGGTGAGTTGACGCAATGCAGTCTTACGCATAGGTGGTGTACCGTTCTTGACTTTCAGCAACAATCGCATGATCTTTCGCTCTTTGAGATCGTCGACACTCATGGAGGCTTCATCCCCAGCTTCCATCAGCTTTCCAAAGTAAGCCATGTCCTCTGGCTTGAAAAACTGCAAGTCACCAACTCCAGGGATATCGGTGGGAAGTTCCTTGCCCATAGAGCGGATGCTTTCAGGCTCCTGCATCATGAACCCGCCAACAGTACCACCCATAGGTGCTGGTGTGGCCATCGTCTTACGAGCAGGGTTTCTGATCGGCTCATATCCAGGAGGAGGGTCCAAGATCTTGTATCCTTCCGTGGGAAGCATCATGTCCAGTTCTTCATCCGACCACATGGCATTTCTTGCGGAAATATCAGTACCAAAACTAGAAGGTGCTAAAGCCCCGCCGCCCTGAGATGGATGCATAGGAGTGGCAAGACCTTGGTTGCCAACAGGAGTGGCAGCAGTAAGAGAGGGGGCTTGATCCCATCGTGAGCGGCGCTTGGAACCTTCGTCTGGTGCACCAGGGACAGGAGTTTGGTCCCATCGAGACTTCTTGGTCTTTGCCTCGTCGGATTCTTGTGTTGTTTCTCCACCGGAAGCCTCGTCAGCAACATCCCAGCGCTTCTTGCGCTTTCTACCCGCAACCTCGCCAATTGCACCGGTATCGACGTTCTCTTTATCGCCTTCCAGCATCTTCAGAGACGCCTCGTGCTCGGAGACATCTTCACCAAGCTCACGCTTCTCTGAAATCAGCTTCTGGACACGCTCCTCCTCCTTCTCGAGCTCGCGGAGAGCCATGACCTCGCGATAGGTCTGGCCATCTCCTTCGACGTCTGCTTGGGCATTGGCAGCGAAAGGATCGGCGCGTGTCGGGGTCAAAGCTCCGCGGTTGAATCGACGCTTCTGATAGTCAGTCTCCCGGTCAGCGATACGAGCGGCCTTCTCACGGCCTAACAGAATGTCTTCCTCTTCCACCCCATTGCCTTGCGCCATCTCGTCAATCTGGCTTCGGGTTGCGGTGTATTGGCCGACCAAGTTATGGCCGCCGTTCGCGTCTTCCATATCTTCATCTTCTCCGTTCACAGCGATCGATGTATCATAGCCGGAGAATCTGCTTGCTCCTTCACGCTCGTATAAGGTGGTATCGAAGGATTCGGTAAGGGAAGCCTTGGTCGAATTGTCAGTGCGCTGACTAGATGAGTCAAAGGTCCTAGAACCTTTTTTACTAGCAGCTGCAGCATTGCGCTCCGCTTGGAGCCGGCGAACGGCCTCGATATCCGCTAGAATGTGAATTAGCACTAGATGGCTGACAGCAGGAGGCGCAGAAAACTTACCGTCAGACATAGCGAAAGATCAAATGGAAAGGCGTAAATTTTATGGCGCAGTAGTAAAAAGTGAGTAACCGCAGCTACATTCGGTGAAGATACCGTTAAAACGGCAACATGGACAATGGAGGGGAAGTTGTCTGATGGTCTCCGGTCAAGTGCAAAAAGCACGTCGCTCGCGAGGTCGCGGAGTGGATGACTAAGGGATAGCAGAGCTGCCACGTGATTACGTCGATCCTCGATGAGTCATCAATTCATGTGCGCATGTGATCTTTTCATGTAGTTTTTTTTTCTCTGAAAAAATATAATAAATTAAAGAAATGCAAAGAAACTTGTCATATGCTTCCAATGCTTGACTATTTTCGTGTTTGACAGTGACCAAACCGTTTTCTCCACTTTGAACAGTTCTCTGGGAGCTATCAGGATCACTGTGGCGCTCCGTAGGCGCTTACAGGCTATTTATGTCCCACCTGAAGTGTATCAGTGAGTGGAGGGTTTCTATTTTGGGTGAACACCTACTCAACGGACAGAAGAAATTGAAACTTAATAAATCTCTTAATGCAGACGACCATGGATGAAACGACCACGTCAAAAATTCACCGACAGTTTGTGTAAAGAGCATTTTGAGGTCGAGTACACAGCCCGTGGTGGGAGCCTCGAGCATGGCTTATTGCATGCAATCACTGGCGAACACACCTAGACAAGGCTCAATTTGAAATTCCACCCAGGATCCTTTGGATACAACCTTGGGATTCCTTTGGGCGTTGAAGTTTGTATGGAGTACATGTAGTTGGCCTTGGCGGTTAGTATAACTCAAAAAGTCGATACCTAGTATGGTTGCACCGGATACTCGGCACTAATTTTGAAAGGATCAATCTATGGAGTACACATATTATACTATTTATGGCTTTTTTTTTCGTTAGGCGAGCTCTTCGCTAAGCTTTCAATGCTAGCAGGGATAATTAGTAGCCAAATAGAGGTCAAGTTTAACACTAGCACCCTCGGATCTCTAGATCCGAGCCACCCCCAGTTGATCAGCGCGTAGTAAAATTTGACCGAAACTTCTTCATGCAGCTAGGAGAATTAATGAAATATGCCTTATGAGCTTGAAATGACCCGGTTTGTGTCAAGGCAGATTAACATTGACTTACGTGGGCTGCTGGGTCAGCCTGATCATACTCAAAAGCTACCTATACTCTCCAGACTTAATTTCTTTGTTCCATCTACGTTCAAGTTTGTGAAGCTAGTGCCATCTACTAGTATTTATTAAAGAATCTCCTCAACTGCTCAAGATACTCTCGACTCTATCATCCTTTCACCTCGACTTGGTCCTCTTTGTTATACTCCATTCCGAGAACTTTTCATCAAAACCCTCATCCCAACTAAAACACAACAAGAACACCTCTACTTCGTCATGCATGTCCTTCAAACTTTGATCTTTTCATTGGGGATGGAAATTAGCAGTGTGTCTGCTCTCCCAGGCCCTTTGTCACTAGTCAGCGCATTCTCTCGGATCTCGACCGAGCTCGACAGTCTCAGCCTAGGGAACTGTTCTTATCCTCATGCAGTGCTACCACTGAACAGCACATCAGTCCAACTTCCGAACCCTTCATCAGGGTTGACTCTCAAGCACATTGCTATTGGAAGAGGAACCCAAAACTACACATGCGAAAACTCGACCTCCGCAGCAGTACCTGTCTCTATCGGTGCCGCAGCCACTCTTTTTGATGCTTCTTGCGTCGCAGCAAAATCCATGAATCTCCTACATGAGATGCCCGCCGTCATCGGAAGCTCTCCCCTTGGCTCTCTTGCCTTCCTCGCAGAGCTCTTGAGCCACACTACAAATTCGTCCAATCTCATTCTTGGAGAGCACTACTTCAACACAGCTGGGGTCCCCGTGTTAGATCTGAGATTGAGTGGCTTGTCGGACTGGATCGTTGCTGCTAAGACTGCATCGGTGGATGCACCCCAGTATAGCTCCACGGCAGACCAGAATGTCGCTTGGCTACAACTTGATCGTCTATATGGCAGTGGTATTGAGGTAAGAAGAGTACCCTCATTTAATCCGTGGCTACTATTGTATATTAACGGATGTCATAGGAGGTTTACCGAGTTGAGACTTATCAGGGTTCTGCCCCAGCAACATGTTCTGGATTAAACAAGACTGTCATAGTCCAATATGCGGCGGAATATTGGTTCTATGGCTGATTCTTTGGGTTGAACCCCAAGCGCTACTATTTGAGTCTTTCATAATCATGCTTGTAGGAGCCTATATATGACTTCCATATACTGTTTCCCCCCTTATAGGTACCTGTCTATCTAAATGGCATCTATATGGTACCTAGACGGGAAGCAGCCATTATAGCTATTTCAATTTTGCACACATTAATGTACATACAAACCTTTCAATCTTTCAAGTTTGAAAATGTTCGCCAATTCAAGTTCATATACATGCGACATGATCTGATTATCACCCAGTATGCTTCTGAGGAGGGCATTGGCATGACAATACATGGCCGGAGGAACCTGTATGCAAACTCAAGTTCTAAAATTCAGGTTTCAAATGTTTGATTTTCCATGTCTTTGAATCCTGGAATTCGAATGTTCAGGTGTAGAATGAACGTAATCCTAGTTGGTCAACTGGTGCCAGCAACAAATGGCGCATGTGGAGACTGTGGCGCAACATATACGCTATGATCTAATGCTTCACCTGGGCAGAAGTGCAGCATATACTTCGTGTCCAGCGCATGGCTTTCGCAACATAAAGTTCTGGAAATCTGGGCAGCTGTCAAACTATGAGTCAAAGTGCACAGACAAGTGTTTTCCCGCAAAAAAAAAAAATCAAGCTTGAGCTGGCAACCCTGTTCAGGTGGCGCATTGATCCACGCCACGGAGAATTTCATCCTTGGTCATAAATTTCATTACCGACCTCAAGTAAGCCTTTGAACTGTTCTTCGCAGTAAGGTAGAATACTATTAGAGGATCTGGCCTCCAGTCGGCGTTCCCGAGGCAATGAGTTGACCGCGGATTGAGTTGGTGTATTGCCACTGTAAATCCTTCAAAACCTGGGGGCTTGAACTTTTCAGCTAGATCACAACATGGTTAATTTTTGTAATCAGTGAAATTGATTGTTGGAAAGCTCTAAAGGCCGTCCATTGTAGATATTATGAAAAGGCACTTGTTACTAAGGCTGGGAGTGAATGAGGGATATCCAGGTGGCTAATCGAGGCGAACACGTCACATGACCGCTCAGCCAAACGCGTTCGCGTCAGTCTCTCATCCCCAGCACAGCCTTCACTTCGAATTCATCAATCCCCCATCAACCACTGTCGCATAATGATCGCACACCAATATTAATATTCAACCGAACAATTATCATTCCACCCAACCCCACTTCTCCTCGCCTGACCTCATTTCCGACCTCTCGCAACATCTACCAACAAAGCGCATTCAAAATGACTACCGACTACAGCAAGAAGACCAACGCCGAGCTCGTCGAGATCCTCAAGACTCGCTCCTTGCCCCACACCGGCAAGAAGGCCGAGCTGGTTGCTCGCATTCAGGAGAGTGACGAGAAGGCTGCTACTGGAGACTCCGCCGCAGCTCCTGCCGAGGACGTCATCGACTGGGACGACGACATGCCCGCTGAGGTGCCTGCCGAGTCAATCGAGATCCCACAGGCATCCACTGAGGCTGGTGCCAATGCCATTGCCGCTGGCGGCGAGGGCGCTGTTGCCAACCCCGTTGCCGTCCCAAACCAGACATTAGACACCGATCCTGCGACCACGAATGACTTGACTGTGGAAGCTGCTGGCCAGCCGGCGCCCGCAGCTGAGCCAGAGGCTGAGAAGAAGCCTGCTGTCGATTACACCCGAGGATTGCCTGCTACTGAGCTGGAGGAGGAACTGCGCAAGCGCAAGGCCCGTGCTGAGAAGTTCGGCATTGTCGAGGATTCTGAGACTGCTCTGAAGGAGGCTGAGAAGACTCTCGCTCGGGCTAAGCGTTTCGGTACTGGCACTGCTGATGCCGATACTGATACTATCAAGGGTCTTGATCAGGCACTTCCTGATGAGAAGACTCGCAAGCGCGGGCGCAATGACCAGGGTGGACGGGGTGGTAAGCGTCGCGACCAGGGCCAGGGCCAGGGCCGCAACCGCAACCGACGTGGAAATGGCAACCAAAACCAGAATCAGAATCAGAATCAGAACAAGAGCCAGAACCAGAACCGTGGAGGCAACAACAATGCTTCCCGGGTCTCGAGTGGACAGAATGCCGGCCGACAGAACGGGGGCGTACAGAAGAGCTGGAGTTCAAAGGATACTGCGGCCATGGAGGCTCGCAAGAAGCGATTCGCTGCCGCTGCTTAAGTGTTCTGAGTTTCTGTCTTCAAACAATTTTATCCATTATCTGTCATTAAACTCAGTTTTCTCCCTTCTCCTTTCCCTTTTCCTATCTGCGTTTACATATTCGGGTCTTTACAAGGCGTTTGTGCTGAAATTTTGTCGAAGACCTCGAGAATCAATTTGAGGATTGTGCGTTTCTTATGTTACATGAATGAAAATGAATTAAATCGAGAAACCCACTTGATAATATGTAGAAATTCGTATCTTATATTCCATCTTGCTACCAGCATTGAGCATGGATTCATGAATGGCTTAAATGTACTCCGTACTCCGTAAACAATCGCGCACTACTTACTCCGTACTCCTCTACGAAGTCACACAATCCTATCAAGTCCCCGCGTGGGAACTTCAAGTCAGCTGAAAAGCGCATTAGCTTCTGGTTCCTGCATCACCACAGCTGGCCAGTCCTACGCCCCGTCAAGGCGGGCCCCTCCAGATCGGCAAAGAGGATCGACGAACCCAGACTCAGAGCATGGACAAAACCAATCCAGCTCCACTACTGTTGGACCTCGAATCGAAGAAATTCCCGCGACTATTGTTCCATAATTCACGAAAGTCAGAATCCCTCAGAAGTACGATTCTCGAACTCCCCTGGCTCATTTCCTAGTAGGCCAGTGCAGCATTTACCGCCAGTCCCCACTTAGATTGATGCCAGTCTGACGAATCCTAGGCCAGTGATCACTTTTCTTGAGATGGTGGCTGTCGGGCTAGAAGACTATAGGGCGGTTAAGTAGTCCGAGTCGTTCATTGCTGGATTCCCCAAGTGGATCACCACAGCCCACTGTGACTCCGCTGCAGCGCTCCCAATGGAGCCTTTCAATATGTACTCCGTACTCCGTTCTGGCGTTGAGGTTTTAGATCCTCTAGGCTTCAAGGCTTTCTGTTCATCTTACTGGTTGATGACATCTTACAGGTCTAACGATAATCCTCGTTATATACCTTTTCTAGGAAAGAGGGTACCCTGTATACGTCTCCCTCGATGCTCTAGATCCTTGTATGTTTGGGCGCCCTGAGTCAGACCAGATATTTTTCCCTGGTCAAGGGCTCGGGACGGGCCTTTCGTACCAGACTCTGGATAACGGTCTTGTATGGGTCATAATCAGACTGGAGAATATGAAAACATTCATGGTTATTGGGATTGTATGTGATCTGTTGAATATTTGACTTTGAAAGTGACAAGTTTAGTGCTATTCCAGGTTTCATCTGTCTTCTACGGTGATGCCATTATACATAGATGGGGCAAAAGTCCTAATATGCAACCAGTACCGGCATTGCAGGGGTCCTAGCGACCACGTTTGGAAATTCTCCGAGTTCCATACATTGAAAAAAACCCAATGTTAGTGGAACTTGAGTATAGTCGAAAAAGCAAGTATCCAAAGTCTCTTAGACGGGATCGACGGTGCAGTCAGATCAAGTTCGGCGTCCCCGATCGATGAGTTGTCAACGAGGCGAGGCAAACGCGGTGAACGCAGTCTTTTCCCTGGACCATTCAAGAGAGATTCAAAGCGGTAACAACTCATCTTCAGCTTGAATCTCACTGGGTTTTGGGTTTGAAGATTTTGCTGCAATATCCAAGTTCTTGTGCTGCGCAGCCTGCGCCGAATAGCATGAAAATACCACTAACTTGGTCTTGACCAATGTACGTTAAACCAAGACCGCAGATAACCTTTGACCGAAACCCTTTCGTTTAGTCTCGAATATTTGAACCAACGATAATGGATTTTCACCGGGGAAAGAGGATTCAAGTCAATGTGGGCCGGGCTTTTCGGTTCCCATGCGGGCTTCCGTGCGCACTCCCATCACGATATCACAGACGTGATAGGGATTAAGTTTCTAGCGTAGGGCTTTTGGGGCCGTTGCTTCAGAACTTGCACGATATCGGCGGCTCAGGATGAGTTTCCTACCGGTTCTAGCCTGTAGTGTAAAGTCTCGACTCATCACAGAGTCTCTGTCATGCACCAATGATAGTTCTGTAGTCATGGGGGGCTTTTCTTCTTTGGTCTTCTCTTAGTACCGGAACGGCCGTAAATTCGGGAAAATCCCTTATGATGGCCAATTTTTGTCTTGTATATGGTTATTTAAGAATAATTCTAGTCTTTTTTTTCATAAATTATAATTTTGGAAATATTTTATTTTATTTTTTTACATATCAATTTCTAAACCCTCCCCCCCCCCACATTAAGAGGGGAGGGAAACCCCCCCCTGGGTCACCCCATACATAACATGCGCGTCTCTCTGACAGTGAAATCTCTTCATTCAATTTCTCACTTTTCTTAGGCTCCTATGGCTTGAAAAAATTTCAAGGAATTAGAAGCCTCTTACATCGTCATTGTTATTTTAAGGCGCCTTATGGATCCCTTACCACTGACGTGGCCGAGGCTAGTGGGAAATCCTGTGCCACAGTGCTCCAGAGTGTGGCGAAGCAGCTGCAAGCTCGGTCGATGCTGATCAGCCTGACAAAGTGACAAAGTCGGTGAATTTCCTTTTAATCTTTGACAGTCTCCGGTGATTTTGTTATTATGCTTAATGACCCTTGCATTTTAATATTAATTTTTGGTCTTGTATAGTTCTCTTTCCAGTCTGGTTTTAAGATACCCAACCACCACTGCGTATATCGACTTTTCTATTTCGCATCTATTAATACAAACTACACATGAAGTCCTGGAGACCCGCATGAATCTAATGAATTTTGAAATTTGTACGTCAATTGTCCCTTTCTAAATGCTTCCAAAGCCAAGGTTAAGGCTATGTTCGGACATATGGATGCTTATACACCCCTGCATCTAGTACCATCGTCGACATACTTTCAAGGAACGTTATGATTACTATTTTGATGCATATGTACTCATCACTCAATCACTTGTCTCAACATTGCAGCCGGAGACTTCAGTCACCGTTGCACCATGTCGTACAATTCTGGTGGCCGTGGTATGCCGCCGAGTACAGTTGCGCCTGCAGATTCATCACATCGGCCGTCCAACTCTAATGTTCCTCATATCTCTCGATTTCAAAGATCTCAATTGGCCAAGCCAGTCAACTATACGCCTAGGAGTGGTCGTGCCTTATCCTTGTCTAGTGCCGAAGAAAGTGGTTCGATACCTGCTCCAGTGTCATCTCAGTCCAATCCACGCTCCAAACGATTATCATCCTTACCACGGCCAACTACTGGGGGATTGACGTCTCCAATCCCGCCGGTATCTTCAACATTACCTAAAGTTACTACTCAGTCAATACCTACATCAGCATCTACTCCGGATGTCACAAATTTTTCTACCTTTGTACCAAATCATCAAGCACAAGCGCCGCCTGCTAAACGAGTCCGCAATGTTCTTCGCAGAAAGGCACCCTTAATAGGAAGACATATGGAGCAGAACCAAACCCAAAAGCTCAGTCTGGTGATTCCGCAAGAAGACAAAAGCCAGCCAAATCACATCAAAGACTCTGGGAATCATTCTGGGAATCACTCTACTCCAGATGCATACTTTGCTGGTCCTTCCGCTTCGGCATCTTCACAGAGCTCAAGCGATAAGACACCGAAGAGTGCGGTGGAAACGCCCAAGATGCAAGGCCCGGCAGAGTTAGCAAGTCTCCGCACATTTGAGCCCAAGATCCTTCCTCCCCCTCACATATCATTCCACCGGCGAGCAGTCCATCGACAAGGCATTCTGAGTCCCCGGGTATGTGGAGTCGTGGCTCAACACCAACTTCGCTATCCTCCTACTCGCCCGGTATCATGCATCCAAGTAAACTTGGACGATTAAGACAGCCCAGTCCATCTCAGACTAGACTGCCATTTTTCTCCCCACCTTCAGTGCATGCAAGTCCTCAAAGTGCACAGGGTGATACACAAGAAACCAAAGTGCTTCGATCAGCAATACCTCAGCGAACTCTTGGTCCAAGTCCAGTATCAGCCAGAAGTATTCCAACAAAGCACGATCCAAGGAAGATCCCATTAAGAGTTCAAGGTCCTCCTCACAGCCCACCGCCAAGAAGGTCTTCAGTGAACTTCAGCCCGCCGAAGGATTCACCACGCAAAGACTCGGATATTGATGTGGAGAAGGCCAGAAAGGAGGTTGAGGAGGCTGAGCGAGAGCTTCTCAAAACCTACAATAAACGGCCAAATGCAAATCCCGTGAATCCCACCAGCCCTGAATTTTTTGCTCCAAAGACACCACCGCGACCTAGTAGAGACGGTACACATCGATTGGACCTGGAGACATCGCCAGTTATCCAAAGCAACCTACCGTATCTCCACTCGACGGGTCACAAGCGACGCGAGTCCGCAGAGAGAATTAGGGTTGCAAATCAACCATATTCTACACTGAACCAACCTGCTACCATGTCTGTGGACTCATTTCGCTCCAAGGACTTATCTCGAATCCCATCACGTGAAGCAGGCTCTCCAGTGATGACACGAAAATCACCAAAGTTGACTAAAGAGCCTCCCAAGGAGAAAGTAATTGAGCCGAAAAAGCCCGTTGCGACCAAACGATTTGGTCTTTTTTCCAAAAAGTCTAAACCAGATCTCGATCCCAACTCTACTGAACAGAACCGAACGGCAACACGGAAGGGCCCAGCAGCAGGAACTGGCCATGAGGGATACGGCAAGTATAGTCAGCGAGGCCGAAAGCCAAGTGCAGGTAGTCTCAGTGATGCCAGGAATCGGTCAACAAGCACAACACGAAGTGCCTCACGTTCGATCGCTAGTAGCAAAGGAAGCATGTCAAGTCGTCCAGATCTAAGTCTGGATGACTTTCTCTCAAGCCGCCTCGAGCCTGTTATCATTAACGGTGGCGGAATGGAGGGCAATACTCTTTCACGAACCCAGAGTGAGCAGAGCATGAGCAGCCTCAGTGTTGCATCGTCAAGTCTTCTTCGCCCAACTCCTTTGACAACATCTACTGCTCAATCAACGGATTCTTTGGTGACAACATCAACGAGTATTCTGAATGAGACTAAATCGCCTAGCGAGTCAACTACTGCCTTGTCCACTCACAGTCGAGTCTCTGAGAAGGCTGCCGATGTCGTTGAGCGCCTTCAGCCTCCAAAATCTCGTATGCCAGTTCCAAAAGGGAAGATTCATGGCGTATATGGAAACCCTGAAGCTGCTCGAACAAGAACATCCGTTTTGATGTCTGACTCGAAAATTCAAGCTCCATCAAACTTGAAGAGTGCTAGTAGTCCATCAATTCCACCTCCAGAGCGAGTGAAAGAGCCTCAGCAAGTCAATAAGAAGGAGAAAAGCTCGCGATGGAATTTATTCCAAAGGAACCGATCCGATGAGCCTAAGGTCCCTGATGCTCCTCCTGTTACTTTATCTCACACTGCGCAGCTTCATGCAGCAATCTCGCCGGTCTTAAAGACTCGACCTGTTGCACACTATGCGCTCATCGATACTGATTCGGACGAGCTCGACAATATCATTAACAAGATCGAGGATTCTCCACCAACTGAGGAAGAGAAAATCCTACCCGCAGCAGAGATCCCAGCAGGTCTTAACATCCGAAAGAGAGAGCCATCTGTTTTACTACCATCTCCGCCAAAGTTATATGGGGAATTCGATGACCGCCCCTCTCCGAAGACCGCTATGTTCAATCGCAATCTGATGGGGCCGGAGCCCGAAAGCAGTCCTGAAAACCGTCGTCCTAAACGATTGGCTTCCGTGGGTCGCATCCCGAAAGTTGTTTCTCGACGTGATAGACATCACAGACCGGCTATGCAATCCTTCTCTAGACCTTTCAGTATTGTAGACTCACCACCGCCAGTCTCAGCCCCTGCGCCGCAGAGTGGCCTTGAATATCCCAGCTTCAATGAGCCATCTTGGAAACAACCGATGGGAGGCCAGACACCAGATCTGGGCTATAATTTCCAGCAAACTTTCAGTGCGCCTGAGCATGTGAGCGCCTTGGATTTCCTTGCGGGTCCCTACTCCGGCAATGAGTTCATTCACTTCTCGCCACACAATGACTCCATATCGTCGAGTAGCTCTGGAGCTTTAGCCGCAGTGACAGCAGTGCTTCCGAAACCGCATACAGCGCCCATGGAAGACGAAATTTGGAAAGAATACGACGACTTGATTGACCATGTCCTCTCTCCGAAAGAGCCAAAGTCTGATGAAAAAGACAGGACAGAAGACGATGGCAGATTCCAGTTGGCAACTATGGCAAGTAAGGCTCTCCAGGATGAGCTGAATAACCCGACTTCCCTTCAACCCGGAGAGTATACGCCTGGTGCTGCATCATTTCGCTCCAGTAGCGATTCTGTCCGACTGCGACGCTCCAGAATTGTATCAGCTTTGCACTCATCCATCTCTCCATCTACTCAGCCATCTTACAGCAACCTCATCGCTAGTTATGGAGATGGCGAGGACCCTCAGAGCTCTGCAACTTCAGCCATAGGACCCTCGGACGAGGTGCAAGAGCAGCAGACGACATTTCTTCAATCCCTGGCCACTGCTACCAATGATAAGCAAAAGTCTCCTGAGCGCAGGTCCATGCTTGGTCTATCAGAGAAAGACTGGGACGCTGTGACCCACACAAATATGCGATCTGCTTCTCTCATGACCAGTCGCTGGCTGTCATTTGGTCGCGTTCTTTTCAGCCCTGCCCACAATCACGTCAAAACCGGTACCCATGGAAGAATCCTCGTTATTGATGGACTCGAAAATGACGATTGGTCATTCTATTGCGCCTTGACTTATCCTGATGCAGACGTGTACAACTTGAGTGGTCGACCTGTGTCAACAGTAATGCCACATCCTGCACTGAAACCCCCTTCTAACCACCACATAATCTACCACGCTGGTCTCAGGAACCCCCTACCTTTTCCCAAAGACTACTTCACGGTCGCAGTGTTGCGCTTCCCGACCAGTAGTCCTGAAGCGGTGCAAAACAACATAGTTCAAGAATGCAAGCGCGTTCTTCGCTCTGGCGGATACCTCGAGATGAGTTTACTAGACCGCGACATGGTAAATATGGGTGCGCGTACCCGCAAAGCCGTCCGCCAACTCAAGGAGATGACCTGCCTCGCCAACCCAGCTATCAGCCTGAAGCCAACGAGCGATAACATCCAACGCCTAATCGGGCAACAAGGGTTTGCCAATCTCCGGCGATGCATGGTTCGCATTCCCGTTGCCGGAATGGTCGTCCGCTCCTCCGGCTCAACCACTTCATCCTCAAACAAATCCCACTCAGCAACAGCCACTACCCCATCCACCGCATTTTCACTCCCCGCTATCTCGGTCACTACAGTGATGGGAAGCCAGAGTAATCAAACTGCTTCTAAATCGTCTCTTTCCGACGATACCAATGTCTCCCTTGGAGATCTCCTCTCTGATCCTTCACCTTCAGCGGCAAACGATGCGTCGATCGCTAAGATTGTAGCTCGCGTCGGTCGCTGGTGGTATACGAAGTGTTACGAGGATCCTGTACTACCTAGTACTGGTGATCGTGATTCTAGCATGTGGAATGACCGTAAACTCCTTCGAGAGTGCCAGAAGCGAGGTACAGGATTCCGCATGTTGATTGCGTATGCGCAGAAGCCCAGTGAGGTCAAACGACGCACTGCGAGCGTCTAGTTGATGACTTCCTTTATGATCTGATACGATCTGGTTATGATTTCCATTATAATTTGCATGACTTACAATACCCTTGGTGCTTTTCTATTCTCTTTCTTTTCACTTCTTTGCTGTTCTGATTTTACTTTGATGCATATCTCTCCTCTTCTTCTTTTTTTCTTCTTACTATTAATACTTTCTTATTGACTTACAGCATCACGGAGGCAAGATTTATGATTCAAGACTTGCATTGACCTCGCGGTCTCTATTGCGAAGAGTATACTAACTTGGGAGGGCGGTTGTTTGATAACGTTCATGATGATATGATCTTGATGATTCTCATTCAAGAACTTTTTTCGCGTCGCATAGCAGGTCTATTTGATGTAATAGTCGATCTCTCATCTGATAAGCAGGACTTAATAGATGATCGTTGGATTCGAATACTCTGGATTTGCCCCCACATGACGTAGCGGTCTTTTCCTTATCAGTAGACTCAGTACTATTATTATCACTGTAGTCTTGATCAAAGTGATACGAGTGCGAAGTGAGAGTGCGAGGTCTCTCTTTTCATTACTAAACGCTAAACTGCAAGCGACAAGGCTGAGTACGTCAAGTCTTTGGAACCCGTGGACCACGAGGCTGTACCTCACTTCCCCACCTACGAGCTGCGCCACACTCCAGGGACCGAAGCCGATTTTATTATTTAAGGGACCTGACTCCTTACCCTGGTCAGCAACCCTTGCCAATACACTTACCTTTTTCGCATAAACAAAGCGACCATGGCCTATCATCGTGAGTCCCTTACCCCCACATGCCCGTCCGGCGCGAATGAAGCACGATACTAATATGCATGTTATGATACTATAGAACAACCACCATACGGCGGATACAACCCAAACCAGCCTCCCCAGGCACATGGTTATCAGCAGTCGTACCAGCAACAACCATCCTATCCCCAACAGCAGCAGCAACAATACCCTCCACAGTCTTATCCCCCGCAACAATTTGCTGCTCCGCAAGGCCCTCCACCCCAACAATTTCCACCGCAAGGCCAATATGGTCAGCCTCCACCGGGTCAGAATAACTATCATGCCGGTGCCCCTCTTCAACCCGGGCCGGGATACCACCCTGGCCCTCAACAAGGCGGCTACCCCTCCAACCAATCTCCTCAGCCAGGATACAACGGCCAGCCTCAATTTCAACAAGGACCTCCCGGACAAGGACAGCATCAGAACTACGGTCCTCCAGGTCAAGCACAGCATCAGAATTATGGTCCTCCAGGTCAAGCACAGCAATTCCAACAAGGACAACATCAGAACTATGGCCCTCCAGGACAAACACAGCATCAGAACTACGGTCCTCCAGGACAAGCACATGCGCCAGTCGGCGGACCAGGTTTCGCACCCCAAGGTGGTCCAGGTGGTCACCAGATGAGCGGAGGCCCGAGCCTCGACCCTCCACCCGCAATGCCAACACTCGGCTACGTACCCGGCCAAATCGCACCTGGAGACTTCACTCGTCAAGCCGACACCCTCCGGAAAGCAATGAAGGGATTCGGCACTGACGAGAAGGCCATCATTCAGACCCTGGCACCCCTTGATCCGCTACAGATGGCTGCAGTACGTGCAACTTACTCAAGACATATCAAGCGCGATCTTTACGACGATGTTAAGAGTGAGACGGGTGGATACCTTGAACGTGGCTTGCTGAGTGTTATTGAAGGCCCGTTGGGCTCTGATGTTGCCTGGGCTCGCGAGTCTGTGGCTGGACTTGGAACTAAGGAGTGGCTTATGAATGAGGCTCTACTTGGTCGTTCCAATGCTGATATACGTGCTATCAAAACGGCCTATGAGCGCAAGTATCATCGCAATTTGGAGCGCGATGTGGTGGATGACTTGTCTTTCAAGACTGCAGACCTTTTCAAGTTGGTTCTTCAAGCGGACAGGCACGATGAGCGCGCTGAGTTAAAGGGACATCACATTGAATCGTGGGTCAGTGCCATACATGCTAATAAATCGGTCGAGAGCGTGTGCGCGATTATGGCAAAGGCATCGAATGCGGAACTACGTGCTATGGATCAAAGATGCCATATGCTTGGCGAGCACAAATCTTTGGAGACAGTTATTACGGAAAGATTTTCAGACCATATGAAACATGCATTTGTGTTTATGATACGAACCGCTACGGATCCGGCCATGCGTGATGCTTTTCTGCTCAATGAAGCAATGGAGGGGTTGGGAACCGATGATGAGCGGTTGGTCGTGAGGATTGTGCGGTTGCACTGGAACCCAGACCATAAGGACCAAGTGAAGCGTGCTTATCGTCATCATTTTAACAAGAACTTGATTGATGTTGTGCGTGGGGAAACCTCGGGTGATTATGAGAAGTTGATGGTTGCTCTGTTGCAGTAGTCGACTAGGACCTCTTCATTCTTCGTTTTAGATGCAGTATGTTCTCGGCGTTATTGAAACCTGCGTTTTTATTATCAGTTAATAGTTTCACGTTCTTCAATGGTTAATACGAGACACGAATTTCGAAGAAACCCTTTACAGCATTTATTATTTCAAGTTTCAAGTAGCTGAGTAGTCAAACCCTGCCGGGTACCTACATTCATTCGAGTTTGAACAAAGTCAATGTTCTCAATTCAGGAAATTCCTTAATACTAAATACATTGATCAAAATCCTGTCGAAATCGCAACTGCAAAATTTCGTGATCACGGGTGCCAAAAAGAACCAAGTTGTCTTGAACGCAGCACACTCCGGGTTTCATCAAAATGCTGTTATCAACCGTATAACCTGGGGGAATGTAAAGAATGCGTTCACTGTTGCGAGTTAGCCAGACGTCAGAATTATTGAAAGAGAACTCCGCTGGTACTGGATCACCCTCAACAACTTGAGACGTCAAAACTTTTGTCCGGGTCCAGTGATGCTTCACATGTCGAAGACGTTTCCCTGTGGTATCGTAAACCATGATTCCCTCGTCATACCCAATAGCAAATGTATGGCCATCTGGGAAGAACTCTATGACTTGTTTCCAATCCAGGCGAGGAAAATCAAATTCCACTTGCTTATAGTCCCCACTATCAATATCCCATATCGCAAACCTATCGTCGTACAGGAATATGGCTTTTTTCATGTCATGGGATAGAGCTACCCATCCCAACTCCCATACAGTATCCTTGACAAATTCCCTCTCTAGTCTGACCACACCAAGCTCAAGCGCTTCATAGTTGTCCGTAACGGGCCACGGTATTAACTTAGACTCTGCAACTCCAAGTCCATCTTCACGATCATTGACGTATAAGTGACTGAGGCTGGGATCCATCAAGAGCTCCTGAACTCTCCATACCTTGAATGAATACTCTTCGTAATTACGTCTCCCATAGCCATTTGGGCCAGAATTGGATGAAACAAGCCTCGTGTTATCATGAGAGAAATTGAGATAATAACAAAGATCCTCATGGGCTCGGAAAGTCTTCACAGGTCTGGCCAAAGCTGTATCCCACAATGTGACGATTCCATCTTTGTATGCAGTGGCCAGGATTTTCCCATCAGGCGAAAGTGCTATCGCTTGGATGTTACAAGTTTGGAAACTGATTTTGGTGTCCTCCTGTAAATTCCACGACTCCAGGTTATTTTGCAGATTACCAAAACCGAACATGATGGCAGCTATCCTCTTGTTTTGGCAAATCGAAAGAAATTTGGGCTCACGGGGCTTTTTCCAGTAAGGCTCCAAGTCAAGGTTGATTATTTGTATAGCGCCCACGCTGTGACCGATCATCCTGTGACTATTTGGAAGGAACTCTGGTTGGGAAAGGTAAAATGCAGCCATTTCAAACACATGGGTGATTTGCGCGGAGCCAGTATTCCAAATCTTCAAAACGCTCATAGTATTCCATGTGGCCCAACACCAGCATGCAAGAATTGTGTCGTCATTCGAAAAGACAGCGGTTGAGAACGACCGTGAACCAGAACTCTGAAGGTCGATTTTAGGATCTTTTGTGGTCAAATCATTCCAGAATGAGAGCTTGCCGTCAGAGTATGCAATCGCAAGCTCTGATTTTCCCAATACACAGACTGGCAGAGAAGGTCTACCTTCAAAGTAAGGTTCATAAAATCCTGGCGACCACGCTTCTCGCGAGAATGTTCAAGCCATTGATTTTTGGTCACATCCAATAAATATACTATAGGGTCATTAGGGTCACCACTCACAGTCACCACAAGACTGCCCATTAGTAGATAGAGTTGAGTGACTCGTCCAGTTTAGACGATGTCCCAAGTAAGTCACTACTCCCGTTTTTAGATTCAGTAAACTGAGCGAATGTGTCGAGTTGTAATAAATCACTGCTAGTCCATTGCGAGTTAGATCTGCAGATCTGCATAAGCCACAGGTTTAGGATAATCATGACAATCTGGTGGGGGAAACTGAAAAATGAGCTCTTCTTCGCCTGTGGAGATGTCCAGAAGCTTGATTTCGCCGACATCATTGACGAGAGCTAACTTGGTATCGCTTTCTTGGAACTTGAGAGCCATAATTGGTTTATTAGTTGTGAACTTCGAGATTTGCTTTCCTGTGACTGTATCGTATATGTAAATCTGCTCATCGTCCATGGAGCCCGATGCAACCATCTTGCCATCACTAGAAATCGTAGTGAACCAGGGATAGTTCGGAACTTGCAACTTCTGCTCAATGGGTGACCATTTCTCCTCCATTGTAGGTAACTTCTCAAACCACGGTGGAATTTTGTGTTCAAATAGCCTCCTGGCAATGCTGTTGTGGGGCGTGAAAAGGAGACCTGAGCAGTAAAGTTGTAGAGGAGCTTCCTCGATCACATACCGCACATGAAACATGAAACGTTTCGCATCATACACAAATTCACGCAATTTGGAATCTTGTACAGACTTCAAACGGTTAGTTTCAATTAGTATTTATCCAACTGATATTTTGCTTGCGTGGGTAATCGTACCTGGATAAGGCCTTCCAACATTATAATACTGCCAATGCCGTCAAAAATCTTCCCTATCAGACCTAGGACCTCTATCCGATGCAAGAGGTGAGTGGTCAGGAATTGGTAGATTCCCCTGTCATTTGAGATGTCGGATTTGGAGATCATGAGATGGTCAACCCAGAAGATACATGAATACTGAACCGCATGAGGAATGTGCCTGTCTATCACACTTCTCTCGATATCTTTTTGTAGGGTACCAGGCCGACGCAGTTGACAAATATCCCGAGTCAAATGACGATCCATAACCCCCAAGCAGCAATTGAAGATGTTTTCGTGCGACATTTGTTCTTCAATATGTATGTTCAAGTTGGAACATCGAGTTTCATCCAGAATGAAATCATGGAATGAAAGATAAAATAAGAAACAGACGCAGTATCGTCGTCCGGAACCACCAGAACAGAACGAAGCATGTCCAGTAGAATACGAACTTTTCGCAGTGGAGTGTCCAGAAGCATGGATAGACTCAGTGGGGAAAGTTTTTCGTTCAAGAGAATAATGGTGCCAACAATCTTTTGAAAGAGGGCGATGAGAGTGGCCTTCTCGGCACTTTCCGTGGTTTTCTGACGTAGCGCCATAGAGTAAATTTCATCGAGATCAGCCGTTGGAGAGTCATCAGTCGATTCGGTTGAGAGTAAAATCCCAAGTCTTTCTTCAGGGAAGTTTCCTTCCAAAAATCGGCACACTGTTGCAGCATAAATGAACAAGCGACCGGTCCGCTTTGCCAACTTGCGCTTTGCTTCCTCGCCCAGCCACTCTGTGTCAAGCTCATTCTCGTTAGCAAGAGACGAGAGTGTTTATGATTCAGGAAAACAGAGACATCGCGCCTGGTCTGCGGAGTTTGCGCATCAGAGTCCAGTTTCCATTCTCGATAAATATGATCGGGAAGCTTTTGGAATCCTTTCACTATTGGCTTTTCGGGTCTGCTGACAATGAGAGTGCGAAGACGGATCATATTGAATATTTTCGCCTGTGAGAAGAGTCCCATGATACCATGCTGATCATGGTTCCGACACTCATCTAATGCATCAATGATTATCACAACAGGAAGAGGCAACATGAGGCTTTTGTCCAGCTCGGAAAGGGGTTCAAGTATAAGTCGCTCCCACTGGTTCTGTGGCGTCTGTTCACCAATTGTTCGATCTTTGTCTATCGCTTCCTTCAGATAGAGGCGCAACTCCGGCAAAGAATCTGTCAGCTGCGCGGCGAGTGTCGGGAATAGTGCCGTTGCTTGGTTTCTCAATTCTCCCGTTCTCGAGAAGAAAAAGCTAGCGCCTAAGAGCTGTCGCTTTTGGAACATCTCGCCACCGTGCGACTAACAGTGGATTTCCCAGTGCCCGCCATTCCGTTGAGCCAGGATATACACCTCTCATCGCTCTCCATTCCCCAGATCTCAATATCTTTCAGAATTTCGATTCTGGTGTTTTCGAGGCATTTTGCGGATGGTACTCGAGCTGATGGGTCAAAGGCATTGAATCCGGCGAATTTGGCGCAAGGGAGCTTTGTGATGCTTAAATCCTGGCTGATGTCCTGATGTCAAGGTTAAAAACACAGATTAACCCATTATGGGGGAGAAATGGCATACTCCCAATGTTCGAATAATCTTGTCAGCTTTTCCCTGAAGTTCTGATATCGTCGAATCAATTTTGCTCAAAGTATGGTTCCCAATCACCCGCAGATCGACATTAATGCTTTCTTTGGCATCTTTTAAGTCGGTAAGTGACTTCTTCCAATCATCCATGTGTTCCAGATCTCTTGAAAACCGCAGTAACACCGAGCGCGAGTACTGGCATGCGATACGGATTTGATTTCGGATGATTTCTGCGTACAGCTTCACCATCTTCTCCCTCAAGCGGGTAAGTGACTCAGAAGCACTATCACCAGAATATCTTAGCGGCCATCATACTGGTATAGATTTGTGATAAGTACCTTACTTTGTTCAATTTTGAAAGACCGTGTGTGTCCTCGATGACCCGCAACCGAACCAGAAGGTCCGACACATACCCGATAAGCGCCGTGGCATTGTCAGCCTGCGTGAAGGGGTGAAATAACAACTGAAAATGATACTGGAATCAGAGTCTGCATATCAAAGTGACCCGGAAGGTGGTGAATTCTAGAGGCAATATTATAACCACACCAGCCCATGCGATCGAAGCATGTGGATCTGCATTAATAGCTGATCCAATGCTGTCTTTCACAACAACTATCGCCCGAACAACTCGAGCTATTCCTTCTTTGATCGCAATTTCTCTGCCGCGAACAATAATTTTCAACTCTCCTTCTTGTACCGCTTTCAGCTTTCGGGTAGCTTGTTCCCGAAGCTGAGTGCCCTTCTCCTGCGCTAATAATGCTGGCGGCTGTCCTCCATCTGTTGACAACAGATAATTCTCATAGGAGGTCAAAAGTTCCGCGTCCTCTTTTTCAATCAACTGATATGCTTCATCCCACAGTCCTAGCAGATTAATATTGGATTTTTGGGGTTGTTGAGTTTGATTTGTGACCCCAATTGCCGTCACCTGGGAGGGGGCCGGCTTGTGAATTGTGTTTTTATCTGTCCCCCCCTTCCAAAGCTGCTTGACGAATTTTTTCGCACCAGACGATTGCGATTTTTGTTTTTGGTCATACTGTCAATGATTGAGATCATTCCAAGATTAGGGGAAGTGATCCTCTAGTTGAAATGGCCGAAATGAGGCAGATTTTGCAGTCTGCTGGATGGGTGCTATCTAAGCCCTCTAGTCTAGCCACTCTTGGTAAAAGGAGGGGTCATCAAACAGCTGAGAATTTGAGAGCTGCTCTTCAGCTCCCAATAATAGCTTCATGCAGTTTGCCGCAATGGCTATGCAGTCCGCAATAAGCAGCCCACAACAGTGACGTGTTAAGCCTTAGCGCCGGGGTCATGCATAATGGGTTTGGATTCACTGCCCGCGTTTATGAGGCGAAGAAAATTATTAAATGTTATCTATTCTCGGATCTATGGACATAGATTTGACGACTTCGGCGTATCATTTATTGGAGTGTACATTATTGAAGGACGGGTTTACTATGTCTATAGTAGTGCCTTGGTTCAGTGTTTGCTCTGGAATCATGATCAATCTCATGTCACCACCACATCGTAATCAGCAATTTCCAACAATGCATCACGGTGCAAACAACTATTATCCATGAATATTGTTTTGGGGTGCTTATATTCATGTATCATATGATCGGCTATGATATGGAGTACTAATATTGACATGGCACACATCATTATTAACCTCCAGCCCTGGAGGGCTAGAGGCCCGCTTATGTACACTAGCAGGTATCCTTCTTGCCTAAGGCGGAGTACACAGCCTCACATAGAATTCGATCGCCGGTGCCTGCCGACATAGGAGTTAGTAGACCACATCACATGAGATCTACATGTATTGACCTGACTACATGTAGTAGCTTAAGTTGTAATATCTCCCTGGGCCATATGATGTGCAGGTATAGGTGCTAAATTAGGTAGTAACCCCTATTGGTCAGTCTCATTCTTTCATAGCTACCACATTGGCTTTAAGAGCGACTCGAAAAAACTGGCTGCTCATCTGAATTAACCAGCTGAGTAGACCATATCAGATGAATTAAGCGTTTTCGATTGTTCATGAAACCTCCAAGGTTGGATCCATGTACCTAATACTATATCTATCATCCGAACAGGAGCACACTAGCACCAACCAGCCGCCGTGACGTTGCTATATACGTTCGGGTAGCAAATTGCACAATCGCAAAACTGAGTATCATTCAAGTCTTAGCAAACAGTTCAACCTGCACATGTGGGTTCATGCTGGCATAAAAAGAGCTAGAAGGGACGAGATTTCCCCAAGTGGGGAACTTGAACCTTCAATGTTCAAATGAGGACCCGGAATACTCACAGGTGTCACGTAGAGATTCACACATTGTATAAGACTTGGAGGGTTCCCTGACTCAAGCGCTCTAATAAAGCATTGCCAATACTGGATTATATCTTGGATTGCATTCAAACAATTGGTAACATTGCAGGTATACGACATATCATTGAGAGTTTCCAGGTCTTGCTTGGAGACTACGATATGGTCAGCATAAGGGGGAAAATTCATATAAAAGCAGATTTTTTAGATGAACTTACTATTCGGGTATCCTACAGGCACCTGCACATCAACTCCATTGGCCAAGCCAAGAGAGGGGGCAAGCAAAATCCTGTTGAGGCGCATTGATCAGAAATGAGGAGGCAAGAGTATATGGTCAATGATATTGGATCAAATGTATATCAAACCTTATTTCAAAATCAAATTCACTTCGCCTTCGATCTGGCAGATTCGAAGCTTTTATAATATGTCAAAATGAGATAAAAATTAACCGACCTAGAAACATTTGCCTAGGAGCTATGTATGGGATGGGTGTTAATTTGACTACGAACAACCTATAGAAAAGAGATCCCTGAAAAGAAAGCGGGAGTGCTTGTTGCACTGAGTCACATTGATGGTTGAAGATTATAAGAAAATATCTCATGCATCTAGGCATACAAACAGAATCTCACCACGGGCTGCTTCAGATGAAATCCAGAGATATCAGGAGACTTGGAAAAAATTGTCTCCTATATGCTATTGAGGAGCAACAAATTTAATAAGTCCGAGTCTTGAATAGGTAATCAAAGCGATGAAGAACTATAAGTGGATTAAAGTAAGGTATGATCCAACTGTCACAACTGCCAAAGGTTGGAAAATCTTCGGGTGATCGAGTCCAGCAGGGATAAGGAGGTGGGTTACACATCATGATATCGGTCCAAGGTTTCCTGGTAGTTAGAACGGCTTCTTGTTGACAAGTTGTCAAGAGTCAAACCGGGATATCAAGTACTTTACAAGATGAGCTGCCCAGAGATGATCTATGGGGGCTAGAATTAAGCGGGCAATCACCGAGTTGCACTCTCTACATGACACATGCATGCATGCGGGAGAATATTTGAAGGGACAGGCCTCGCGGCCCAATATTTCCATGGGTGAAAGTTCTACAGGTGTGGACTCCAGCTCAATCTAATAGAGAGAATAAATTGGGATGAATTTAATATTATTCACCTACTCATTTCCGTAACTTGGTTTTTTGTTTGCCTACTAGTAGCAGAATTGAAGTTTAAAATCTCCATGTAGAATTAAAGTTGCTATTATAGAAATCACATACTACGTTCATGGGCTATAGTCCGGTCCTCCTGAGACTTTTCGGGTTAGAAAGATCAATAACCTCTAACCTTTCACGTATCAAGCGCATCATTGTCTGGACATGAGTTTGACATGAAATCTCAAGCCCCCTGGTATGATCCTCATGAAGTGGGTCTTCTCTGACGTGAAAAAGGCCCCAGCTTGAATCATCCGCGTACTCCAGGGCTTGATACTAGTACTAACAAGCAAGAGAGGATATAAAGTTGATGGGACAGACTAGGGCAGGGCCACTTTCCGAGGTTCACTGTCTAGTTGAAACATGTTCAAATGAAGTACCCGCGGCTCTGTTACTTAAAGAAGTCTATTTGGATGTAGCTGTAGCACCGATTGGCCGAGGGAGGTGGATTTGTTTCAAAAGTGGATTCTAGTTCATGAAAAGATGACGATCGCCTTCCTGAAAGATCGATCCTGACCGAACATTGGACTGATCAACAGTGAAATCATTAGATTTCTGTTGGGATTGAAATATTCCATGCTCTCGTGGTCTTGTTCTTTCTTCCATCCGACCATCCGAGAGCATATCTATGGAGCCTAATTCAGATAAAAAACAGATCCACTTCTCCTTTAAACTTATTAAATTCATATGAAGAGCTTGATCTTACCAGAATTGGTTATTTAGCTCCGTACCGTGACTAGATATGGAATAAACTCCACAGATGGAAACAAATTGTGTGTGAGCCCTAGAGAGCCAAGAACTTCAGGATTAAACCTATATAATGAAACAAATGTATCTTGTCTGATCCCTTAAGTTTTCTTCCACAGTCTTTTGTCATTCTTTTGATCTCAAGTTTCTTTTGTTCTTTTTTTTTGTTTTAATCTACTCTATTTATCAATCACAACGTCTTCCAGGATGAAGTACGCTGCTGTTCTTACGGCTGTTGCCGCTCTCGCCACCAAGGCTGCTGCTGTCGGTGTCCAGGGAACCCCCGAAGGATTTGCTTCTTCTGCCACTGGTGGTGGAGATGCTACTCCTGTCTACCCCACCACTACCGATGAGCTGGTCTCATACCTTGGTGATGACGAGGCCCGTGTCATTGTTCTGACCCAGACGTGAGTGATCCCTCTACATGTCCGAGGAAAATATTGCTAATGATAATCTAGCTTTGACTTCACCGACACTGAGGGTACCACTACTGCAACTGGTTGCGCTCCTTGGGGTACTGCCTCTGATTGCCAGGTTGCTATCAACCAGGATGACTGGTGCACCAACTATGAGCCTGATGCTCCTAGCACTTCCGTGACCTAGTAGGAACTTGCTCCACAAATATGGATAAAATATCATTGCTAATTTCATTCTTAGCGACAATGCTGGCTTGCTCGGTATTACCGTCACTTCCAACAAGTCTTTGATCGGTGAAGGCTCTACCGGTATTATCAAGGGCCGTGGTATTCGCATGGTCAGTGGTGCTGAGAACATCATCGTTCAGTGAGTGCATTCAAGTTTTTACTATTTCTAGGTATTGGCTTAATCTGGGTGATTATGACTGACTTATAACAGAAACATCGCTATCACCGACATTAACCCCAAGTACGTCTGGGGTGGTGATGCCATCACTCTCGACGAAGCTGATCTTGTCTGGATCGACCACGTCACTGTAAGTACCCTCTATCCCGAACACTTCGAGTTTCATCTCCACTAACATCTTCCCATCTAGACCGCTCGTATCGGTCGTCAGCACTACGTTCTGGGTACTGAGGCCGACAACCGCGTCTCAATCACTAACAACTACATCGATGGTGAATCCGACTACTCCGCCACTTGCGACGGTCACCACTACTGGAACGTCTACCTTGACGGCTCCAGCGACAAGGTTACATTCAAGGGTAACTACCTTTACAAGACCAGTGGTCGTGCCCCCAAGGTCCAGGACAACACCTACCTGCACATTGTCAACAACTATTGGGATGACAACTCCGGCCACGCTTTCGAGATCGGTGAGGGTGGTTACGTCCTCGCTGAGGGTAACTACTTCAGCGATGTTGACACCGTCCTTGAGACTGATACCTTTGAGGGTGCTCTCTTCTCTTCCAGCAGCTCCTCTAGCACTTGCGAGTCTTACATTGGTCGTGCTTGTGTTGCTAACGTCAATGAGGGTGATCTCTCTGGCTCCTCTACCACGGCTCTTGAGGCTTTCAACGGAGATACTCTTGCTACCGCTTCCACTGCTAGCACTGACCCTGCTACCAGCGCTGGTCAGGGTAACCTGTAAACAGCTTCATGTTTATGGAGCTCTGAAGGAAGCTGTGGGCACTGGCCGATTATTTGTAGGTGCTTTGCATAGCTTCATTCCGAGATACCTTTGTATTTTTAGATAGATGGGATTCCAAGTCATATAGCTACTCACAGATTACGGAAATACACGATCGCATCTTTCTGAGTCTTGTCTCCTTCCAAGGTTGTTCTTCTTGTAATTTCACCAGTATCTTCTAAATTAGAGTAGCAATAGGGCAGCGGTCGTTTCAGCCAAATAACCTTACATCTCTATTCAGTATTTTATAATTTGAAGTTGGAAATTCACGCATTCATCCATTATCGTGATCATAATCATAGCTTCATGCAGGTACATAAGATAAAAAGAAAAGCCGAGAACTCATATCCCTCGATCTGGGACTTCATACTACCTCTTTAAGAACAACCACATGCTTCCCAGGGAAAAGCCCAGTGCTACCCGCATAGGTCCCACAAAACCAGTCATCATTCACATTCTCAACCTCTGTGATCTCAGCACCACGAGGAAAGGCCAGTTCATCCTTGACTCCTTCTTCAGGGTACCAGGACCACCGAGCATAGACGACCAGTCCCACTCCTCCATCAGGTGGGAAGCGGCGGAGAGCAGGAGCCTGCTGTGAGATAGGCGTACCTGGATTGGAGCCTGAGTGATCTCCGGAGTTTGCTTGTGCATTACTTGTTGGCGAATTGGTTGAAGCTCGTGCGCGAGAAGCCTTCTTACGACGTCCTTGACCTTCTCTCCAGCTCCAAAATGGATTGCTAGATTCCAAGGATACATTGGGACTAGCGGTAGCAGGTGAAGATGTAGGCGACCGATTGATATGCTCATCTTTTGTGGCATAGCCACCAACCAGATTCCTGTCAATAATACGTCGTTGACCTTCATTTTCGTCTTTGAAGCCGATGATAATCATTCGATGGCCTGCTAGACAACGACGCCAGCCATTGTGGCCGTTCTCTTTGCTGATTTTTGACGTTACAACAAGCTTGAGGTAACAGTTTGTGCAAACGTCGTAGTCTCCGTCGTTACATTGCAGGCAATGGAACCTTGTAACCGAGGCTGGGATGGGGTAGGTGCAGATGTCGCAGTTTGTAGAGATTTCGAGGATCTTGTAGGTCTCTGACTTTCCAATCGCTAATAAATCGTTTGTTTTGATCGTGGGTGTAGATACAGACGAGATAGGACTGCCACCAATACGGCGAATAGGTAGTAAAGGATGAGTACAGCATCGGCCCTGGTTGACGCAGCGATTGCAAAAGCCCCAGTCTCCCTCGTTACATTGGTTGCACTTCCAATAGCACTCGTTTGTGGAGGACATGCAAATATCACAGAATAGTCCAGCTTCGAGCCGACGAGCAGGATTGTCGTTCGTCATTTGAGTGCTTTCATTAACGGTAGTCTGAGCCTTCTCCGCGAGTTTTCGATATTTGAAGGAGCTCATTATGTGTCGATTGAGACCCAGCGTATGTGCTTGCTGGCCGTTTGAGGATGCCACCATGAGATCGAATGTTGATTGGGCAGTTTGGCGGAAACCAGCCCATTCAAGGCAGCCTTGTTTTGAGCGATAACAGCGCAGGCAAATATTATAATCCCCATCTTTGCACTTGAGACATCTCTTGTGCAACTCATATTGGATTTCAGATTTGCCACATCGGTCGCATGAGATGCTAGGCTCGGCATACTGAGTAGCGATAGGTGCAGGGGCATTTGCCCTCGATGAAGCTGGTCGTGGTCGTCTTTCAGATCTAATTGGAACAAGGGGTGATGATGTAGCAGGTGTGGTTTCCGCAGTGTTCGAGGCCTGGGGTGCAACTGACGGAGATGAGGTAGATGTAGGGGAGTTGGTAGCAGATTGGCTGCTTGTTTGTCTGGAAGAGATCCTTTCTCTCCCTGAACTTGCCCAGACATCGGAGGCTGGCTGATCTGATTCAGTCCCTCGTCGCGGTCTCCGTGATGAAGACTGCGCCCTGGGCCTTGCAGCATGAGAACTACGCGGGCGTTCTGCCGTCATGTCACTCGAAGATCTAGCAGCGGGTCTTAAAGTCTCGTCTGAATTCGATCCCTGGTTCAATCTCACAGGCGAGATTCGTCGATTGGCGCTGGCTTGATCGGAGTTTCTTCGCCGTTGTGCTTCAATTGGGCGGGGAGCGACCGGGTCCAATAGATGCGGTCGGGATACAGGTGGTCGCCTCTCACCAGGCTCTCGAGATGGCTGGTTTATCTCGCTCGGTGGTTGAGCAGAATGTGACCGCGTATGCGATCGAGAACTGGCTTGCGGTGATTGTCGACGCCTTTGGGCTGGCCGGGAATTCGACTGACCCATATGTCTCCGACGATAGGCTTCTGCGATTCTTTCGCTCAGCTCCTCTTCCTGTGCAGGTCCCAAGTTTTCGAAATCGATATCATTCAGCAATCCCTCCTCAACAATTTGTCGCAGAATCTCTTCTTCCATTGTCTCCGCCTCGGATGATAGACTGAGTAGTGAGCGCAAGCTTGATTGATGCTCGACTCGTCTAGCACGCTCAGAATCACCATGGCTTCCAAATGCATGACGTTGATGTTCCGCGACTTCCTCCCTCCTCCGTCGAGTTCTCCCATCTTCGGTGTGTCGGGTATCGGGATTGCTGCTCCTCGGTCGGTTCACTTCTGGCTGCACTCTACGACGCTCTTCTCTCCTTCCCGATGCCCGACTCTCACGAAGACTCAGCTCTCGAATCTCATCCACAAGTCGCTGATCATCCTCATCGTCTGAGCTTTCTGCTTCTGACTGTGGTGGCGGGAACACCGAGTCACCGGGTTTGTACCGCTCTGCAATTTCCTTCTTTTCTTCCTCTGTTCGGGCGCGATCCGGCTGGGCCATTAAGACCATATCCAGTAGAGTCGTGACGGTCGCATTTGGGCGGGTGTCGCGCACATTAGCACGACAAGAGGGACAGGTAAATTTGGGCAGCGAGCCGCGAGGTCTTCGACGTCCACCTTGTGCGGTGAACCATTCCTTCAAGCATGATCCGCAATATGTATGGAGGCAGTCGAGGAGAGTGAGGGGTTGATAAAGTAGCTCGGTGCAGATCTAAGGGAAACGCAGACGTCAGTCCCACACGTAAGGGGGGGAGGGCGAAGGAATGTTAAGAGTGAGATTTACATACCGAGCAACCCAGCTCTTTCTCCAGGTCTGCTAACCCAGGAGACTGCACTTGAGACATGGAGATGTTGATTGTTTTGATCCCACACTCCTAGATCCAAGGAACGGACAAGTGGAAAACCAAGGTCAGGCGGTGGTGGAAAGTGGGTGAGTTTCCAAAATGATCTCCACTTTCAATCTTATCGCGATTCCATCACCGTTCATCAATTTCTGAACTGACTTCAATGACTTTGGTGTCCTTTTTTTTCACTTTTTCGAGTAGCCTGACTTGCGGCTCGAATCGGTAAGACGAAGGTTGCGGTTTCATTGTCCTACTCTCGGCTCGTACCTAACTGGCCCCGCGAGACATCTGTCATCACTGCTCAAACCTTGGAAGTCCAACACGTGAACGGCAGAAGCTTCTCGAATATAATCATAATGCGTTAAAGCTTTCTGTGTCTTCATGAGAATCCTGGTCTTTGTTAAAACTTTTCGAGTACCCGAAGTTGGGCAACCGCTAGACATGCTGGTCTCGCCAGCAAGGCTTGACAAAGTATGCCACGAGGACGATGAGACTCGATATAATTTTCAACAGAGTCAGGCATCAGCGATTCAAGGCATCATCAAACTATTCAGATAGTTGGAATGCTCTTGTCTTACGACAGAAGCCTTGACTGCAAAGCAGGGTCTTGCTGGGGACAAGAATTGCACACTCAACTCAGCACGACTTCACAAAGTACTGACCCAATAGCACTATATCAAATAGCCGAGCTGTGCTATCTCTCAATAAGCTATAAATTATCATACATCAATATGGTATGCTGAATTGATCAAAAAGTGAATTGCGATCGATATTTGGCAATATTCCGGTGTTGGCTTCCACTGGCAAATCTGGAATCCCCGGGAATAGCTTCATGGCGGAACTAGAAAGTGTGTACTAGCGCACATATGGAGGCGAGTATCAAGAATCAACTTCGGCTACGCTTAAATATAAAGCGTTACTATTTCCTCCTGGCATTTCTACACTAATCATTGATAATAGACTATCTTCATCCACCTCAGTGCGAGATTCACCCCCAGTATCTGACCAAAAGTAATGCTGAAGCATGATAAAACAATTGATAAGACTCGGGGTTCTCCATGCCGGTGGCTATTAGCAGTGGCCTTCAGAGTAACAATGGCTTATACGAGACTATACGCAATCTCATAATAGCGTCATGCTAAGATCATGCATCTCAAGTCTTCAACCCGAAATTAAGACCTACCAAGAAAGGAATGCTATACGAAGATAACTTCACCAAATGCACAAGGAATTGATTTTTTCGAGATAAGCCACTATACAGCTCTAGGCTATTACTCACTCTTTGAAAAAAGAAATTCCTTCTGTACTTACTTGCCGTAGATCAGTGGTGGCGGCAATGCAAGACACGCCTCTCAACGCCCAGTCGCACGACGAGGGTCCGACCATTCAAAAGCAGACGGTACCTCAACGTTACCAAGGGGATACATGGACCTCATTAGTCCTGAGACAAAAAAGATATCATCGTCTGGAGCTATGTAGACCGCTCGCCACTGGTTAGGAAAGAGGGGGCGAGATCCCCGATAAGGTTTTCTGAAACGTTCAATTCTTAAGTGGCGGATTGGTGGCTTTGGCCAGCTCAGTCTCTGGAACAATGGTTGGGAGCCACTGCTGTCATTATCAGAAGTAAGGGGAAAGAAGGCGTTTGGATTGCATGTTGACCTTGCACGATATCTCATAGTAATTTGCGGGGTTAGGGATGAATTGGCTTTTTTTTGTCCTCAACTCCAGACTTTTGATTTTGACTTCGCCAATTGTTGCTGATTCTTAGATTTCTGGAATATGGGACATTTCGTACGACGGATTTTTGGGGAACGTGGAGAACGGACGTATCTCTTGCTTTCGTTAGACTTGCAGCATGTTGACGCTCCAAACCGGAACGCCGGAACTATTGTTTGGCTATCTGAGGGGCATCATGTGAGTTATTTGAGAGGTTTTATTTGTGTGACCGGTGCATCCGGGGCTCTGCTAGGTTATCTGCAATGGGTCATTCAGCGCGGAATTCCCGGCGCGAGATGCAAGCGTGAAACTGTAGATAGTGAGCGGGGAGTGCTTAGGGCAGGGGGGGGTTGAAGGGTCGAAAGTAAGAGAGGGGGTAACTCTGGTCTGGGGCCATTTGAGATACACCCGTCACAAAGCTGTGGTCTGTTCGTCGGACTTGGGTGTGGCTGACAATAGTACGAGTGAGATTGAGAAGGTGTAAAAAAAAGAGGAGTTCAGAGACCAGAGCTTTGCAAAGGAGGGGCATAAGGCGGGAAAAAGAGGGGGAAGAACATGATCATGAGAAACCTGAGATAGAAAAAAAAAAGCTAACCTTCTCCATACCGTTCCAGAGCACTCCGTTTAGTTTATGACGCGTCTGCGGCTTGGTCATGGCAGAGTGGACGTTGTCATCATCCTGGAGTTCCTTTGGTCCTGGGTTGATAAGCAGTACGTAGTGAGGTGAAGTGGCAGAGGCCTGGGGAAGATGCACCCCGCGATTTCACGGAGGGACAGAGCGCATATGCAACTCATATCGTCTCCGCGGGAGTCGTCGAAAGCAAGCGAGGATGAGTTTTCCACCTTGATGATCATCCTGTAGGCAACCAAGGCAGATGCAGGATCGATAACAAATTTTCAAGTTCGGCTTTCGTCCGTGGGGTTGAACCTACTCCGAATGCGAAGAATGATTGACGGAGAACCCCGGACCCCATAGAATAGATACGCATGGATCAACTGATGCCTCATATACAACGAGTGCCCAACTCCGGACCCCCGGACCCCACAAAGGGCCGATCCTCGTACCTGTGCGGGTAGCAGATCATGACGGGAAGGGAAATATTCGGGGGATTACCTATATTGGTTATCAACTTGGATGTAAACAACCTTGGAAGCCCCTCACTATACATCTACGTACACACTTGCCTAGATAGGAGATTTCAAGTTTGGCTTCATCTAAAGCAAACTATAGCATCAAGTGTTAAAATCATTGTTTTGGTGACAAAGGCAATTGATTCCGGTGATCCTGTCATATACCGACAAGTTCTTATAATAGTATACTTCATTTATGAAAGGATTCGGACTCGGGAGTATAATGAGCGCGAAGTGGAGAGCGAGCTATCCCACAAATTTATTGTGGCACTGCCACCGGAAATTGGTCAACTTCTAATTCACGAATCCCATTCGTCTCAGACGGATGTATCAGGATTGTTGGGATTGTGGCTGGCCCCCGCTTGTTTTATGGGCTTCATAGGCCGACAGTAGCGCTGTCATGGCTGGCGCCTCTCCCGCCAAGAGGGTTTTGAGGCTTGGGACTAGTATAGCGGGATTTTGATAACTAGAATTAGATCATATCCCGTCATTCGGGCGAATTGCTGATTACAGAATAGAGTAGAAATATCACGACTTTTGGTGGCATGTAATCGCAATATTTCCTGATTTATGGATGAAATAAGTAGTGAGATGAAAGTATCCAAAATTTGAGATTCTCGGTATACCTGACAGTTTAGTCATTTTAGTCATGAACCATTCTTAGAAATAATAACCCGGGCGCCTCAATCCACCACGATCGACAATGACCCAGGCGGGAGCTACTTTGGACCCATTCAAGGTGGGAGGGTCTGAGGGTAATAGTATACGAAGAGTGGGAACCTTAGTAGATAGCAAGGATTACCTTTTTTAGTCAACCCGAGCTTATAACAAACATCAAATATAGACGTTAAGAGAAAGTGTCCCCGCTATCTAATTCCATAATCTCGGGATGGTCCTGCTAGATATTGTTAAGATACTCCACAATCTGCAACAAAATAAAGAGAATATTTTGAAAAAACAAAATTAAAAACGGCCGTAAACTTCATCCCCCCTCCTATCAGGCCTCTAGTTGCATACTGGAAACAGATGACTACTGCACTGACCTCTCACTGTGCAGAAGCCACAGTCAGTTCGCCGCACTAATGCATTGCCTAATGTCCGGCGTGCAGAGCACAAGCAGCGTGGAGCACTAAAGTCATTAGCCCCACTGTCCATGCACCAACCGTCGAGTCATATCACCGGGATCGGACGCATTGACTACGGCACAATGAGTCTAGGCTATTGCCGACTTGTCCTGGGCTGGATAGTGTGGGTAGTACCACTGGAGCTGTTTCGCATGGTGTGCATTAGTATGGAAATCAAAGTATAAGAGCATTACAGCAAAGCACTATTTCTCGCGGTACAGGATGCTAGTGTGGGGTGATCCACGAAAGTGGTTGCACGTCCCTTGGCTTTACGGAGTATACACTGTATACGGACGAGGATTCTAAATTTTTCTTTACATAATGTATGGTTTTACTTTTTGGAGATTTTATTGGCTTCATCGCACAGACCAGAAACGGTGGTCCCTGATCGTCTGAGCGCACGTTCTTTTGAAACTGGTGAGGGGTGGTGTGATGGGGCCACTTGTGTGTGTACGTACACACACCCCCTGCAATCAATAACTTTGCTCAGATAGATAATAAACTTGGAACCTTGGCGATAACGTGTCAGCATCCCTGCAGTATGCAAATCCAAGTCATGTGTCCCAACGCACTGCGAATGAGATGTCAACTTTACATGAGGAGTATTCTTGCGTGATGCGAGATACTGCACCAACTGTGCAGGCGCTTGGATAGTGTACCCTCATTGCAGATTTTACTATCGGGCACGTTTCACCAATAAAGAAATCTCCGAGATTCAATAGCTTTGTATGGGATCTATTTCTATTTCTGATAATAGCCTTAATGATACTCGACTTACAAAGGTAACTAGAGTGTAGAATCCGATCTTGAACCTGGTGATCAAGAATTGAATTTGAATCACACCGACTTTTAGTTATGAAATTGAGATAAGACTAGGTTCTAAAATGACGAGACTATCACATCTCTCCCTCTTATCGCGACAACCTTAGGATGTATAGCGGCATAGTCCCCCCCGCAGATATGAGCCGAGGAGAGCCGCGCAGTCAGCAACCCCAGACCGAGACTCTGTGGGGGCTGCACATCCCAAGC